CCAGCTAATCCACAAGCTGCATGGACCTGCCAGGATCAGGCTGCTGGGGCCAGGCCAGAGGATAAGCGAGTCCTCCCTCCCGGTGGGTCCCGGAGGAGGTGGCAGTGGCAACTTCCCCCCCACTCCTGGCTGCCCAACCTTGAGGTAGACAGATCTGAATGTGAAGGCCCGCCCGCCTCCTCCGCTCAGGGTAGAGAAAACCGGATGCCCTGGGATCACAGCAGAGCCCATACCTCCTCTTCCTTCTCCTCCCCAGGGAGGGGACCGCGGCTCCCTGCTGGGGTGGGAGGAATCCACAAGCTGGGGAGGATCACAGCTCACTGGGCTAAAAAAAAAAAAAAAAAAACAAACGGGAGACAACAAGCTGCTCCCCAGATTCCAGGAGGATGACGCCAGTCATGGGGGGCAGAGATGGGGTTTAAGGAAAAGCCTCTTCAAGGAAGGTGCCACAGGGGCTGCCGTTCAGAGACTGTCCTACCTAGACACTAGGGACCACAAACATGTGGCCGGTGTGCCTCTCAACCCCCTGCCAAGCCCACAGCAAACACTGCTAATTGTTCATGGAACTCTCCCAGTGAGCCAAGATCCGAAGGCAGAATTCCCAGCCTGGCTTCAGTGGCGTGGCGACTGCTGGTCCAGCTGTTACCCTTGATCCTCCCCCCTTCTAGCTATGGCCTATTCACCTGTCAGGCCCCTCGGGCCCAGGGCTTGAGGTGTGTATGTGAGTGGAGTGGGGGGCCGCAGGATGGGGGAAATGCAGAAGGGGGACATCCAAGAAGCAAGAACAGATTAAGAGCGAGTGTGGAGGCTGGGAAGAGATGGAGGGTCAGTTCGGCTGGGGCATGAGGACTTTCACCTGAGGCTGGCACCCAGCAACAGAGGCAGCAGGATTGGATAAGCAGCATTAGAGGGGCAGAGCCCAGAGGGGGAGCACTGTTCCAAATGCCTGACCCCCACGATCACACGAGGGGAGATGGCCAGCCCCAGTGGGCACTGTAACCCTGAGCTCTCAGGCCTGTCAAGGGAAAGCCTTTCCCCCACTGCCCTCTCCCCAGCTCCACTGGGTTCTCTCAGTCTCTTTACTTCTGCAGGCTCCCAGCACAGTGCCACCACACAGGGGACACCCCTTACATGCTTCCCAAGGTGCTGTGTGATTTTCTGTCTTCACTCCCCAGGGTGATGGAATCGTTTCTCAAACTTGGTAACACATCGGAATAACCTGGGAAGCTTTAAACAATGGCCAGGCCCCACCTCCAGACCTGATGAGTCAGACTTGCCAAGGGTCAGATCTAGGAATCGGTATTTCTCAAAGCTCCCTAGGTTGTTGTGATGTTCTCTCTGGGACCTCGATATAGAGAGAAGAATGTGGATTTTGGAATCAGACCAACCTGAGTTCAAGCCCTACCTCTGCCTTACTTGCTGTGTAACTCTGGACAAACCCCTTCTCTCTGACCCTGTGTTTCTCCCATCTATAAAAATGGAGAAATAACACTTATCCTGCTTGCTTTCGAGAATTATGTAAAGGTATCTGTTGGTTTTCTTGCTTGTCCTTCCTTCGGAATGGGCCTAAGGCTCATCTCTCCATGCACAGACTCGTGCCCTTCAGAAGGGGCACAGTCACAGGTCAGAAGAGCCCAACACTTGGTGCCCTGTGGGCAGTGACAGGAAGCCCTGGTGGAGCCCCTCCCTCCTGCGGCAGAGCCTGTGAACACTGGAGACTACATCCTGCAGGGCTGGGTGTACACTGCTCCATCTTGCAGGGCTGTGGGCGACCGAGCTACGGGAAGCTTTACTCTCTGCCCTGTTTCACTTGACATTGAAGCCTGCATGGCTTCACTTGAGCCCACGGAGCTCCATCTGCCAGCGTAAGGATCCAGATCTGTGTGTGTGCTCCCGACACAGTGCCGGTGCCAAGAGCAGGGTCCTGGCTAGGGTGAGAGACAGAGGGCATAGGTCAGCACCACAGGCACACCAACCGGCACCAAAGGAGAAAACCGCCCATGGGTAAAGTCTGCCCAGTGAAGGGGCAGGGCAAAGGTTGGGATGGGGGAGAGAGGGTTAATGCCACGAGGCCTGGGCAACTGCAGAAAAGTGAGAGGGAGGCCTTGGGCAGGCTCCAAGTGGTCAGAGTCCAGTCTGAGGTGGCTCTGAGGTCCCTGGCTGATTGGCTGCCAGCTCCTTGGCCACCAGAGGTCAACCAGGAAAAAGCTCGGGGAGCCAGGTGGGGTATTCCTGGTGTCACACAGACCTTGGTCACACTAGGGCTGCCAGGGCAGGTGGCGGCACGCCACCAAGACCAGCACGCATGCCATGAACTGTCTGCACTCAGTCTTTCCACACCCTCCCCCAGTTCCTCACGGGTCCTGGTCAAGGCTCTGTTACAGGCACGACAGAGTGGCATTCTCCCCCAGAAAGCTGGGGGAGGGGGCAAGATGGAGACTGAACAGGTAGCACAGATTTCGGGCTATAGCCCACCACATCCTTCTCCCAACATGGACAGCAAGGGTAGCGGGGGAGAGATGCTGACCGGACGGCAGAGGTGGGGGGTTGGGGTTTCCCCGCTAAGGCCAAGGTGGAGCAGATGTGGGGGACACCCCCAACCCAAGGAGAGCCTAAAACGGCTGAGCAATTAAACCAGTGACCTGAGCCTGGAGACAAGCCATGTGTCGCGACAATACCGACGGGGCTGCGCTCTGCAGATGCCATGCAGTGGTGGTCGCCAACTGGGTCCCACGGAGTCCAGAGGGCTGCGGGACGCCCACTTCCCCGGCGCCGGGAGGCTCAAAGAGGCCCTGTCCTACCAGTGCCAGGAAGGGGTGGGCGGCCAGCCCCCGCGGCCCTACCTGCTGACGCCCGGGGCTTGGGGCGACTC